CATTTATGAATGTCGCTTTGATGCGTTCATCATTTCGATTCGCCTTCTCCATAAAATGCAAACGATTGGTGATCTGGTAGGTAATAATACCCTAAGGTCGTCAGAAGTTCCCACTTCGTTTAGCATCAATTCTTTCATGGTGTCTTTATTTACTATTATTTATTTATTTATTTATTTATTCATGCGTGCAGTTGACGCGCCTATAAAGAAACTAACAATAGAAAACACTGTGGTTAGTCAATGAGGACGGTAGCCCTATTATCTTCACGAAACTATTAAAAACTACAGTATAAAAGGACTACTGCAACCCTATTCCCTTTCCTGCATTCAAAGAGATAGCAGCACGAGGGAAAATTAGCACTGCTGACCCTCTAGCGAGGAACTAAGGAAAACCTCTCAAACTTGGGTGACTTTGAGTGGAATCCAGGTACCTTACCTGCACCAGTCGGCAATGGTGCCCATAGCACTACTATAGGTGCAATGGGAAGCCTGCCTGAACTTCGGGACACGAGTATACCGACACCCTCGTGGAACAGGCAAGTCAGGTAAGGACCAGATGCCACTCGTGGATTTCAGCAGAGAGACGTTACTTCCAAAGCTTGTAAGTGGAGGTCACATACTTAGCAGACAGAAAAGTTTTCTGAGGTGTGAGATTATGAGACGCCGTAATGCTTTTTCCTCAATGGACCCGCCTTCGTTTCGAAAGGCTGGAACCACTTGTTGCATTAACAACCGGATGCGTTCTTTCAAGAGGTGTGCACTGACTGTGATAACAGTGGTTGTTCTCCTGTGACCATACATGCTTGCAAGCGAACAATTTCAGCCATTCATTCTTTAAAAGTTGTTGACATAGGAATAAGGTAAAGCTGCCAAGACTAAAAGACTTTGCCCTCCTTCCGAAAGAGCAATAGTGCTTTCAGAAATTCCAAGCGAGAAAAAAGAAAATTCATATTGCATCGACCTGATGATATTCCTGAGCACCAGCATTTTTGCAGGGAAAGATAACAGGTGGAAAAAGATGTCACTACCAAAATCATAGATGGGAATTAGCCAAACACCGTCCACGCAAGCTGAGTGCAGTCGTCAGAGGTCGGTTGTTCGGCACTATTGGTACTAAATGTCGTCGTCAATCTGAATATAAATCTAACTCTTGGCGGCTTTCGATTTCGACGCAGCGTTACATAATATTTCTTAATCTCTGCTTTTTTTCCTTGAGTTATATACTGTGAACTCAATTACAGTGAATAGTGCAGCTTCTCCTCTGTCTAGCGACCTGTAATTTCCCTCCAATATGTACCTAGCTTGCCGATTCCACGTGGGCGGCCGGTATACCCGTGTGTCGGAGTTTCGGCAAGTCCCTATGACCCCGTAGTGGCGAAGGGCATCACAGCCGGCTGATGCAGGTACTTGTTGGTGGGTCACAGTGCTGCTTTTCGAGGGAAGCTCGTCTATCTCTAAACTACACTAGATGCTATCTAAGCATTTTACTTCTCGACTTTCACGGACTGGTTCCCGCTAATCAGAGACTGCCTCCTCAGAGGCTCATGGCGCCTCTCCTCAACGAATGATCTAGTTCTCAAATAAAGTGAAGTCACTCGGCAGCTAGTAGCACACGACTGTGTTGAGTAAAATGTCACTCCCAACTTTCTATGAACAGCAGTACAAGCGACCAGATGTTTCCATAACAATATGTATGAAGCTTGACATGTTAGAAAGAGCTCAATAGACACCAATGAACTAACGACACAAACACTAACCCAATTTCTGTACGCAATCGAATGGAGACAGATACCGTGTCATATTTCCTATAAAAGAGGACTGTAGTCACACTACCATCAATGGAAATGAAGAACATCCTCAGTATCATAGCTCAAACTCGTCCAACTCAAACAGTAGACAAAATCACTACGAAAGTTTATTTACTCCACACAATCACCATAAATGCACAATAGTAACACTAAATTGAAATTAAATCGACTAAAGCTCATTGTTGCTTGCTAAATAGCCAATAGAATTTGAAATTAAAATGATTACGAGAATACTATGCAAATAATAGGCGACACCGAGACCAGAAATGCGTACACCACACCCCTATCAGCCGAAAATTTGGAACTTCTGATGACTAATGAATGTCCAGCAGACACAGCAAGACGTGGTCTAATCATGCCATTGCTGATCACCTACCACATAGACGTCACGAATCAGCAACGATCTCTGTCATCAATTCGCGGAATTGACTACAATCCGAGAAATGATATAAATTGCTTTTCCCCACGGACCTCTCTTCTTGACAGATAGGTACAATTAACTAATAACTCAATAAATAAATAGGTAGCTACTGCCAGCACACCAAAGAAAAATCTAGGGACAAAAAACTTTGACAAATAATGATAGGAAAGCACATAACGCAAGAAGTACAACACGTAAACGACAAAAGCGCCGAAAGAAAGTTAATACTAATTGTTTTGAGAGTTAGCACAAGATAAGTGTGTCCAGCTGATTTACCAACATATGGAAACACCACTACAATGATTCTTCAGCTTCTCTTTCTTCCTCAAGGATTTTCTCAAAAGAGAAAGGAGTGAAAGCGTGACCCAAACCTCCATAGAATTTGGACTGGAACTCGACCCTGCAAAAAAAGTAATTGCACCATGAACTGCCTAAATAATTTAAGTGTATAGCATCAGTTGGAATGGAAACTGACCAGTGAAGACGAAGCGCGTGTAGAAATGCTGATAAACCTTCCATGAGCACGAGAATGAAAATCGATAAGGAGCCGAAAACAAAGAACAAAACGTATGTGGCCACTGCTCCATAGTAGCCGTCAAGACGGAACGAATGACGGAACACCATTGTCCACAAGACATCCGACAGCTCTAAAATAAGCAATGAATCGGTTTCTGCATATAACAGCTTAACCCTGCATCGACGTCTGGAGAATGCTTTAAGGCTAGACAAAGAATCAAAAAACGGCGTAGTCATTATTGTGACCCAAAAAATTTCTGGTCCGTAATGAATTGAAACATTTTTTGACCGATTCTCATTAGACCTCAAAGTTGATCATCATAGTAAAATTGACTTACGAGCATGAGCTAGCGAAAGAGCCCAAAGTCGAAGATATGACGCAGTGTGCGAAACACATCCAAGAACAAACTCAATGGTGTGAATTGCCTGGTATACCATCACCTCGCCAAATTCAAACTGCAACGATAGCGTCATGTACAATTTAAATAGTCCGTAAAATATACGACTATATACCAATTCAGCCCTGTTCAAGATAAACAAAACTCTTGCTAGAGAGCAAAAAGGTCGGCCATTTCAAAAGTGAAATGTCGAAGATATCTCTCACAAACCACCATATTTTACGTAAGCAATAAGACGTTTCCAACACAAGTTTTCGCGACCAAGCTATTCCTTTTCACGCTGTAAAGAGAGGCAACGGCCTTCCCAAACAGGGATGAGTAGTATAGCAGAGCAAGAACTTTTGAAAAACATTGCACAACAAGACAAAAATGACAATGAACTAAGCTAGGTTCATTCACTGTTGCGCAGAAGAATGAACCCTATGTCCCCCTTCAAACTTTTCCATTAGCTCGGAAAAGATCGCACTGTTCCAGATCCCCTGTCTTCGATCACCTCGCCCCTACTACGCAGAATAGTTTTCGTTCCGAATGAACGACCTTCTGTCGTCTCCATTCATGTCCGCTCGCACACTCTAAATAATCGACATCTACTTACACTTCACAACTATTGACAACAAAGCACCAACACCACCACTACAGAAAGGTTCACATGCAAGCAACACTATTGAAAGTAGAGAAATAGCTAGCGACACAGAAGTCAAACCAAAACGACCACACCGAGACAGAATTGCCTACTTTCACAACAGCAATTATAAAAGGCAACAGACACACACGATGGCAACCAAACACCTACGACATCACGACGGCGAAATTTACCTTTTCAAAACGTATCGTTAAGAAGGACAGACTGATGGAGAAGCGGTGGTGTTGGTAAATTCCCGTTTTATTTTTTAAGGAGAAGAGAAATAACTGATAGAGAAAATCGCACAAAGGTGATTTCTTCGACATAGAACACTGGGAGCAATATGAACATATGCCAGTGAAAGCAGAACAATGAAAGAAATCAAAACCATGAAGATCTTGAAATGGAGGGAAACTAAATTGGACGGTGTCAGTACTACTAGTACTCGTTCAAGACGTGACTTAACCCCTCCTTACTCTTTCTGGGCTCTAACCAGTTTCGTGGAAGTTCCAGTTGAACAGCAAAGCTTTACATTAACCAATTTCAATCAAAAGTGATAATGAACAAAATCGACTTCTCTCTAAGCTTAACTCACATTCCGAACCCACAAAATCGATGGAAACCCAGTTATTAAGAACGACAGAACGCTTCCTATTTAGCTTCCCTCCATGAAATCAGAACTTATAAGAGTTGATTTTCTAATTCATAATCTTTATCATTGCACAGACCTCATCGCGCAGTGTGAAATAGTGGGCATCATTCACTCGACTACGGTAGCGCAGAATCAAAGGCTTGACGAAAAGCATCAGAGGCACTTGCACCACCGCTAACACCAACAGCACCCGCTCGACGATACCCTGAAAAGTTTGGCCGCCCAAATAGAGACCGGCATTCATGCAATGATCACTAACGGAGCAAAGCATGAACACAAGGTTCCCACAAATCCGTAAGATGTAAAGATTTTTCTTGATTGGGCTGCCATTTGTAAAGTTCACCGAACGCGATGTGCACTACTCATGCACACCAACCAGCTGTCTGTGACCAGACTCGCGACGTTCTTTATCTGCTTTCCATAGCATGTACGGCTTCGCGAACAGCATGATCGGTACGCAGACGATCGCCACCAGTACGAAAATTGTTTGGAAAAATCCCTAGTATTGCAAAATTATATATGAAAAACAAAGATCGAAGTAACAGTCACCGAAATTTCGAGTCCGGTTGAAAGTTCTAATGATGTCACTTCACATTTGAGAGGTTAATATCAAAGATTCTCATCAAGTTTTCACCCGCGGTTTCAGCAACAAGTTCGCAGCCCTGCATCCCCCAGTAATTCGCCTGAAGTTGCTCTAAAAGCACTTCAACTAAACTCATTTGAAAGGGTTTCAGCAAGGACGAGCGATTGCAGCCTTGGCTCTTACTTCGATGCTACCACTATCTGCAAAGGCGCAGATACTCATGGTCCTTAGACTTGATTCCCTGCTTGTAATTTGAACTATTAAGCTTTCCAACACATTTTCTAACATAAAGGAGCATGAACTGTACCTGTCCGGGGTACCAGAAGTTGAGGTGGCACTGGAACTTCTGACGTCCCTCTTCATCCACAAAGCCAGAAGGCAATGTTTTGAACATGAACATGTTGATAAGTCCGATCAGTAGTGATGGTGCACAATTCGAACCAGGATATTGATAACCAAAAATGGATGCTTGCGGCTAAAAAAATTTATGGTATGGTCTCAATTCTCATACAATGTTACGAAATTTGATTAAGCTGAAACACACAGCGGTTAACTTAAGTAGTTTGTTCAGGCTTGAACACTAATCTAGAAAATCTTCAGAAGAAGACGAACCCCTGCGGTGAAGAAAAGCCATTTGACAATGATCTCCAGACAAAGATATATGAAGATGCTGGCCAAAAATATCATCTGCGGTATGAACATGAACTTGATGTCCAAATCGGATTTGAAATATCTGAAATTTTCGCGACTGAACTTACTGAAAGAGAATCGCTGAACTGTTTCCAAAGTCCCCATGGCAAACAGAATAAAACAAGTCATCGAAAATTGTTCCAGAACATTTATTTCTTTGAACGAACAAACATCAGTTCTTGACTTGATCCAGTACTCAGGACTTTGGATTTATTCGATGAAAAAACATTCGCTCATTTAGCCTTTACAGCCCAATTTCTCCAGAACGTTGACGTGGGTCTTCACAAAAATTAACGTCTTTCAAGGTGGGAGCGCAACTTGGGAGGGGAAGACTGGAACTGTGGAGCCCAGTCTTTCATAAACGTACAGAACCACCAGGAAGCCGGTAAACTCGAAGTTTTAAGGCTATTACACAGGGAACCGAAAGCCTGCATGTTTGCTACTTTATTCCTAATGCATCAATGTTTCAAAAACAAACTTACTTGTAGTTTTGATAACTTAGCAGCACGCCGAAAGTCATTTGTGCAATACCAACGATGACAGAAATCTTCATTTTCATTGAATTCAGAAAATTCAATTTGTTGGACTCTGCTAAATTCCATATCGGATCAACTCCAATGGGATATGGGCCGCCGGCGCTCTGGAAACAAGTTTGTAAACGGCATTAATCCACTAGCTTCTAGATTTGGTGACGTCTGAATTATCGTGATATTAAGGTCAAGAACGTACATCATAAGCGTATTCCGGAATGAGCATGAGAGTTTTCTCTTCGCCATACTTGAGCCTATCAATCTCATTCAGGTCGTAGCAATTCGTCCATCCAGATCCAAAAACGTTCACGCTTTTTGCGAACACATCGTTGTAAAGGAATCCGGTATATATTGAGAATGCGCCCATCAAAAAGATGACATATCGACCGCCAAAAAAGGTTTGAAAGATCTGTCAAAAACAATGTAAAATTTCATTGCAGAGAATGAACATGAAGCATATTCCATTACCTCATCCTTTATGCGAGCAGCTTCAAGTTGCTTCTCTTTGAGAATAAAGAAAAGGGCAGCCAGGAGCATGATGGTACCATGACCAAGATCTCCAAACATTATTGCAAAAAGAAATGGGAACGAGATCATTGTGTAGGGAGCTAAAAAAAGGTGAGTAACTTGACACCATGAAAACATAATTAAAATAATAATAATAGGCGAGCGACAACCTCGAAAGAGCTACAATTCAACAAAAACATGAGCGATTCATGATCACTTCGATAAAAGCATACCGGGGTTGATTTCCCTATATGTTGCAATTCCGTACGAGTCCACTATGTTTTGGAAACCTCTTGTAAATTTGTTTGTTTTGTGATAAGTTGGTGGCGCTTCAGTAGTATCCATTCGATTCAAAATGGATGGCACTTGACTGCCACTTTCTTCCTAAAACGAGGATAAACCATGCATAAGTGCCTCTTTTCACCTGGTTACAAAATCTACTAACCGTTCCTCTTTTGAGCGCCATTTTGATGCGCTCTAACTCACTAACAGGGCACCAACACTCAGCTATTAGGCATTTCTGTAAATAGGTAATGTAAAGTGAATACTTGGAACAGACGAAATTATAACGAAAGTAGTTTTCATAAGAGATTAATAGGAAGAAATGGGAAAACAGTGCTGCATTCACTCACGTGAGTCACATCTATATTGAACAAGTTAAGGGTATGGTATATCGACTTGATCTTTCGCACTTTCGTCAACCACATGCGAACGTTCTTCGAGGCTGCTACCTGACAGCTAATATTGCTTCTCAACTACTAGTGTCTCCCGACCACTACATAAACGGGTGCTTACCAGCACTCTATGACGATGATCCTGCGTTTGTCCCAGAACAGTTTTCAAGTCTTCGATTCTAGTCATCACTCCGATCGACATTTCACGTCGCTCCTGGGGAGTATCGGGGCATGGGTATAACGTTGCGCGGAAACTGGAATGGAAAAAATTGAAAACTTCCTTCAATTTACACGAAGAAAACGAAAGAACTGAGAAAGGACACACCCTTCACAAATCTTCTTGACTTTTGTCTTCAGCTGGTCTCCTTGGAAAAAGATGATAAACACTGTTTTATTCACCGGCTCGCCCTGGAAAGCAAAGATTATGAACGCAAAGGTGTACTTAATCTGCTCAATTCTTATAAGTAATGTAAGAATCAATAAATTCTCGAGGGATGTTGAGTGGAAGCTCACCGTCACTGTATCATTAAGCACATCATCAATCTCAGATGTACGCAAGAAAACATTGCCACGGCAAGCACGCCAAAGAAGACGCTCGAACGCTGGTAGGCGTTCACGACGAATTACGCCGGCCACAAAGCTAAAACAAAATCAGTCCCAATAAAAATTAGTGAGCTTAAATTGAACATTTGCTGCGAACGTGCATCGGATGAGCAAGGTGAACTACGCGAAGCAATTTCAATGATCCAACATTCCCACAACTACACTACAAACAATACAAACATCAAAATTTTTCGGACGAACACCACAGATAGAACTACAAGAAATTCATCATGTCTACTTCACTACAGCACCTTTTTGTCTACGCCTCTCAAATCGATATAAGAACATCTCAGAGTATGAGTAGGACTCCCTCAGTCAAAACTGTAAATTTGTTAGCGTTGTAAGACTCTGATTCCTAACTGCCACTCATAATAAAGTTTACCACACATCGCAACGCGATCCGCAAATATCAAAGTGGCGCCTGCATACCGTAACTGAAGCTTGAGTGGGGCGTGGTCGTGCTGCATTGCTGGATATTGATGACCATCTTCTTCGGGAGTTGTCAGTAGCTCTTCATGCTACAGAAACACAACAGCACACTTATTTTTTTAAGTGAGAATAGTAGGATAACTCAAACACTTCACAAACAAGTGTGACGATTCGCACTCACTCTGGTTCTTTTGGTAGTATCCGAACGCTTCAGCAATGTTCGCGAAAATCCCAATTTACATATGCAAATATATACAACAAGTCAATTGAATATAACGCACATTGACATAAAATGTCTGCTTGAGAGCAGTCACTTCATATTTTGGAAAAGCCAAATCTCAACCAGACATTTCAATCGATCTGAAGCTAGCGTTGCTACGAATTTGAAGAAAAATGGGGATCTGGTACTATGTTGGATTTGTCGCGCCAACTGAGGTACTCAAGTAAACTCACTAAAGGTAAGGCGCATCCTTAAAGCGTAACCCCGATGCCAGGGTTGAAAATCGATACTCAAATAAGTAGAATCAGCATGATAGGTGGAGTGCTTACAAAAAGCCAAGGCTTTGCCTTCGAGAAAGCCTGCATTAGGTCACAGGATCTTAACCATTTCTGCTGTTCTGCTGAATTTTAGATGCTCAGTACCAACTTGTACCAGATCCCGATGAGAGATCTTTTACGTTTCTACCATATTTGTAATTATAATATAAAAAGCGTTTTTCATTGCACTATTAATTATAAGATTTCGCCGAAAACTGTGAGGTGTGATTTCGATGAAACTGTGTGTCAAAGCTTTTCGTTCGTGTCCTCAATTGAGGAGTGGATATCTAATATTCACAATAATCCTTGTGGTAGGTCACTATTAGATCATTGCTTTTGAATAACTCTTAATAACTGTTTGTTGTTCTGTGAACAGTTTGTGGATATGGTGCATTGGAAGTAATCATGCAGCCTATCTATAAAAGCCGAAAGAAGTGGGTGAGATGACACACACACAACAAGCACAAAGCATCTAAAACCTCTACATCTAACACGTGCGCTTCTGACCTCTGACACCCACCCAAAATTATGAAAAAGTGGTCCAGTTGTATGTGGAGGCGCAGTGCCTGCGGATGTTAGTTCCATCGTCTCCGTATCCGTGCCGTCACCGGGCGGCACCATTGTGTCAGCACCCGCCTGTGTTAGTATCATACATTAGTAAGCCTACGGACGTACAATGTAACAAATTCATAAAGATTCGAACTATTGAGGTGGTTTAATGCAGTAAAAACAGGGTAGACCAAAATTATGATAAACAAGACGATTATATCTTAAAAACGGATACTAGACTAATGAAACAAACTTCAAAAAAGGTAGGTCACTCATATCACAAAGCAAAATTACGTTGGGAATGGAATCTGTCATCTATTCATACAGGCCTACAGAAGGAGAAGGAAAACATGCACGGTGGCACGCAGGAAAGATGCGATAGAATTATTCCAGGTTTTGATGCGCTTTCGTCAATAAATCAGGAATTTTTAGATTCGTATAGTATTTGCTTCATGTATTTGCTATAGAAAACCTAGCTTCATTTGGTGAAGTATTTTTAGATGTCATGTCCTGAAGACTATAAACTCGAGAAACCCCTATGCGTTATGACTCAAGTCCTTCGTCTTGCTGAAGCGTCTAAAATAGAGTACTCAATAACGTTTTGTCGGCGACAGACGTTGGTATATTGGAGCGTGCCTAGTTGGCTCACTTGTTTCCTCATAAATTGTTGAAGTTCAGGTCAAGAGTCTCAAAGAAAGAAGGGGATTTCTGAATTTGATGTGTGTTCTAGTAGCAGATGTAGACTCAAACCTTCGTTTCTTTCATTTGAGATGGTTCCGCACTTATTGAAGCGTCGAAAACTCGTATATACAAGCTTCTTGGTAACGTTATTCTGGCGCTAGATGTAGCGTGTCCCAACCCATTGCCGATTCTGTTCAAGGATTGATATGCCGTGATTGGGTGATTTCACTGCACGATATTTAGACTCATTATAAAGCAGATTTCAAATCATATCACACTAAGTATAAAAAATAATGAAATGGAATGCGGAAAAAGTGAGTAAGATTGCGCGAATACCATAATTTTGGCCCACCCTGTACAATTGGCCTACTTGCAACGCTCTTTATGGTCATTCTAACACCTCGTATACAGCTCCAACTTACTTTCCAATCCACTTTTTCATAGTAAGGAATAAAAAAGACCCCAATCTTTGTTGATGTTGGTTTTCTTCAAGACTAGAGCTTTCCAATGCCATGATTACAGAAAGCTGTGCACATGTGATAGAAAAGTTGCTTCAAAAACCTTTTCGTCACAAATTTACATGGGTTAAAACACTGGGTAACATAAGGTGAGCTAAACACTATCACACATGGTTGTGGGCATGTTGGATGCTGCACAATAACTTCACGTCACTTTCACTACCGCCATGCATATTTTTCTAGTAACCATTTCTTAGCAAATATGAGTGAATCAACTTCAACGACACAATTCAACTTCAACGTCAAAACTCGTTGATTCAATATTTGCCAAGAAATCGTAAACACTAGAGAAATGCATTTTCGATACTTTTTTTGAAAAAAAAAGCTATGGAATTCCTGTCATGAAATTCTGCCTACAGTTACATCCGACCTACCCGAGTCTTAGCATTGTCATCGATAAACCCAGTCCCAACGGTGCTTCTTCTTCGGCAGTTACGATAAGTGGCTCCTGTTCTCCAGACAATGTTCTCCTTCTTGATGCTTCACCAAAATGACGTCGGTCGTGCTCAACCTCACAAAGCACGACAATCATAACAAAGCCGTGATCATAATAGGAACTACAAGGTATCGCGTTGTATCCTGAATGATGTTAAGAGGTGTGGCCACTAGGACCCCTTTTTACTGCCCCTCATCTTCAAACACAGTCGAGTGTAAAATGGCTGAACCAATACGAAATATGATGCTTTCTCCAAGTGCTATAATACGGAACACCGCTTGATTTCGAACACGAAGCGCTAAACATATTTACTCAAAATAGCAGCTTATTTGAGCATTTGCAAAATGCAAAACGACTGGTACTGTGTCCCGTGATACCAGCGTTAGAGAGAACAACTGCTGTTTTCCCAAAAATGCCTACTAACAAGGTCAGCCGTCCGTTGTTCCGAAGCCCAATTCCGCCCACTTTTTTCCTCCAAAAAAGCGGGGGGGGGGGAGCGGGATGGGAATTTCTCTAATGAAGCGGCAAATTCCTGTAATTTTGATCAATTCGTGTTTTTTTTGGAAGTTACCTAAAAATTTGAGGAAACCCGGCCTGACCACCCTCCCCCTAGCCCATCACGACTTCTCCAAAAAAAAACCACCGTTTTTTAACGCTTTCACCTTTCACCAGCCCCAAATACGACTTCACCCCTCCAAAGAACCCAAGTACGACCCCTCGTTGAGAACTTTGCAACGCATGGTAAACCTGCATAAGGGATAGATTTGTGTGTACCAGGAAACCACAAACTTCAGACTATCCCCAAAACCAAAAGGTACTTGATAATTGAACTTCAAGAGGCCCAATTCATAGAGGACCCCTACTCAGTTGATGACTAAACTACAACAAGTTCATCGATCGCGAGCCATCACTGCTTTCGTGAAGAAAAAAACACGGATGGTTGACTTATTATTGCAATACGCGAAACTGAAAAGCCACACAACACGCCATGCACTATGATAACGACAATCTGCAGGTGCGAATGATTCTTCACTATAGACGGGCTCTTTGAGACTTCCACTGTCAAACATAACAAGGAACTCCCTTCTTTCAATAGTGTTTGCCTCTGGACGCAGTGGATGAGTAAAATATGAAGCTATGTTAAGAATTTGAAAAATTTCAGCGAGGTTAACGCATAGCAAGCGTAATGTGAATCTTCGCACTGCAAAACCTTACTTCTCCTTTTGATAGCCGGGTCAAGGACAGCCAAAGGTAAGTGAACTGCTAACATTAGCATAGACCACGGATCAAAACCATAGATGAAATTCAGCCCAGCCAAACCAAGGCTTCCATTCCTATGACCATGAGATCAGCTTCTATCTCTAACACGTCTGAGATGATGAAAATTCTGACATGTACATGGGCGATCGCTATGCAGGCAATTGTATGAACTTAAAACGCGTCAACGTCAGTAGATTCCAAATGAAAGATGATGGCCAGTACAACCCAAAAAAATTATTTAAAAGTTGAATTTTTTCTGATGATCATCCAAAGGTGTAACACATATCTTGAGAGTCAGCTGCGACATGAGGCTTGATGAAAGGTCCATTGACTCAAAGGAAAAAAAAACTCAGGTACAAAGACACCCCCGACTCTGACAGAGACCTTTCAGCAAATCTTGGAAGCCATGGATTCAATAACTGTGTCGTCCATACACCGCAACAATAACTGCCCCGCCGCGAAACAAGTCAAGACTGTTGTGTTGAGAAATGCAGGAGAACATCTTGTTGATATGGAGAAATGAAATATAAAATGAGCTGGCGAACTGCTCCTCAGAACATAGGGCAAAGGTCACGATAACTTTCTATAAAAAATGCAGAACAATCAATTTGCTTATTCATTTCAACTCTATACCCTCTCAATTTGTCAAGTAACGCTTCTTTCTATTTTTCAACTTGCGACTTCCCCAACATGGCGCAAAACATTTTCATTAGTACAAGTATGCAATCGAACGCCTTTTGTCATCATAGAACCCCACTGCCAAGAGGTTGGCCCAGCAGACTGCATCAAGGCGATCAAATTGAAGCAAACATGAAGAGGGCGTAATTGTAGAGGCCATGTATGTGACTCTATGAACCTCGACATTGCAATAGCATAAGTTGATTTGCTAGAAGTATACAGCAAATTGGTAATCTAGTTGATCTTGCAAATATCGCGCAAATTCTCCGTCTTCAAAACCTGAGAGCACGAAAAACCTACTGATGACATTGTTGAACAAGACATTAGTCGGTTTTCATTCCGTGCGCTCCAGAAAGTGAGTCCGATTTGGACCGTGACCATTTTCAGATGTCAAGTTCCAGCAGGTAAACTTGCTAATGGCTAATGTACTTGAATACAGTAGGATGCCACGACAGCCTCGTTCATATAGGTATTCGGCACATGGTTAATCGGAAGGAACTACGAGGAAAACATTTCAGGAAGGATCAATATTTCGCAATAGCTGCTCGAGAATTTAGGTGTGCATTGCATGAATTTCTCGCAAAAGACCCCTATACGACCAACTGTCCCAAAAATGTGCCGCAAGGGAATCCATAACACGAATTAACTTTTGGAAGTATCTACTAAGTTAACCGAGAAGCAATATAAAGGCACATAAAGCAACTAAAACTTCTGCTCCTTTCCCAATAATAAGAAAGACAAAATAACGTGCAACTTCGTAACTTCAACAGAAAGTGGTGCCAAACTGATTAAAAGCATGCAAAAATTGAAGGAAGTGCTTGAATCGTGGACAGACAGGTGTTAGTGGGTGTGAACGTAAAATGTTCATCAATGGAGAACATTTCGCTTGGAAGCAGGCTGACCATTGTTTTTTGCACTATGACATTTTATTATGAATATTGGAAAACATACCTCTTCAAAAAATGTTTGCGTCTTTCTGAGGATATGCTTCAATTCGGTCAATTCAGAGAAATTCTTCTTGAGTGTCTCTTCATTCCTGTTCACTTCACGCAGTTCGTTTTCGAGTTTTTCGAAAGTCGCCTACAAAAAAACGTGCAGTACTACCAAAAAAGTATTTGTCCGGGAATATGTACCTCCAAATCGATCATTTCACGTGGCTGAGGAGCGTCCGGATTCTCGCCGGTATCCAACATCGGAATTTGATCTTTCTTGATTTCTCGTTCAAGGTATCCTTAATGGCAGGGTTTTCTCTATAAAAAATAAGACCAAGAAAATTCGAAAAATCTTACTCAATTTCCTTTCCATCTCATCACATCGGCGAACTTCATTGACATACTTCCGTTGGAACGCGCTTGTATCAGGATTGAGCTGAAGGAAGGAAAAATAAGTGATGAATGAAATTCTCTCCACGTCCATCCAGTAACATTATTAGCGACACATTACTTGGTTACTTCCTTGAAAAACTAGGACGGCTACAATAAAAAAGGACTTCTGCTCATGAACGCACATCGGCAAACTTTCCGTCACTACTGAAGTTTTATGGTGGAATATCGCTGAAATGTTCTTGCCTGACTGCAGACGGTGGCAGCCCATAAAGCTGGTGTCAGAGCCCGCATTCCGTCCCAGGTTTCGCTGCTTTTCGCGATTTTTGCGAATTGCCGCAAACTTGCGGCGATCGGCAAACTTCTAATTGTCCATTAACATTTGAACCCATGGAGATGAAACAGTGGAATCATGAGCATATCGCACTCAGACCAGTCACCTATCACAGCAGAAGTAGTGTCATCTAGGTAAAAAACACCTTCGCACTGCCACCGATCGACCCACCTGTCGCATCCTTCCATACCGTTCGCGCTAACTCACGCGAATCGCGGCAACTCCGAAAATCAGCGAAAACTGCCCGCCGCGAGTCGCAGGCTCTCTGACATCAACTCAAAGCGGCTGCAGTGTTACGATCCACACCTAGAACTCTTGTCGTGTTGTTTCTTGCACAGCCCGCTTTCTGATAGGATGATTCCTGCCTTATATAATAGCAATATCGAATATCGACTTTGTGTTATCCTGGCTACTTTCTGTCTTTTTGACTCATCGTCAGTCGCACAAGAATTTCCACGACGCCGTTCGTCAGGTCGCGCGGTAGGCGCGCACATTTAATCGCCGCGCCCAGTCCAAATAACAAGCAAAACACTTTCACAGTCTCGAAAATATGAATCATCCATTATCGCGGTCAAACTCAAAAACTCAAACAGGCGCACCGTAAATGCTGAAGCTGGAAGCGGCTATCCGATTACTTCCATCTAACCTCTGGTAGGCAATTTCATAAACGCTGTACCTATACTACCCCCCGCCGACGAGCGTCAAAGCCGTAAAAGGTACCACCGATCCGCTACGAGAAACTGTGATTTGAGTTCAGAGTCTTGCACTCATGTCTATATAGAATTTTTTCGATGTTTATCGCGCTAACGCATGTTTTAGTAGACTTACTAATATGTAGCGTTGAAATATGAAGAAGCATCTAGTTTGAATACTAAAGTACGATTGATCCAATTTTAAAGAGTAAAGAAGTATTCCCTCACCCCCTCCCCTCCTGCTGTATATTATATATTACTATACTATAGTATTCATTTTCAAGATCTGACAGAGATGCTTGCCAATAATCATATCAGATGTTGGCATCGATGAACAATTCTGGTTCTTCTCCTGTTCGTGCAGCTGTCTTTCTACCTCACGCTTCTGTTCCATCTGCAAAACTTTTCTTGTTCATATTGCTTCTAAGCTTCATGATCTCCGCTTGTTTGCAATCTTCTAGACCCAGCTCGTTTTGCATTGCATGGCTTTGGAGTTGGTGTTTCGAAGCTGTATTGCGCTGTTGTAATAGCCACTAGTAAATGAACGAATGTAAGCTCAACGAGCGCTCACCCACGCAGGGTAACTTTGCGTCCGCAAAAAAATACCAGCACATGCTTTTCAGTGTTCAAAGGGACGTCCTCATCCGGTTGCTCCTTTCTGCGGGACCCCTTTCCACCGATCTGACACAGGTTGATCAGGTCATAGAACAGCTTGGAGAATAGCAATTACATTCTGAATAACAGATTTGTAGCATTGCTTCCAAAATAACCACTCAGGTGGATCTGGGTTCGAGGTCGGATCGCACTTACCAAAAATGTTATGCGCTCAGTCATGCGAGAAATTGCCGAACACGTCAAGGTTTGAACTTCTAATTTCCGCCGACGCTAGTGTAAATCAGGCTCTTCAAATACAGATGTGTACGCCCAAGAACCATTGATTTGGTTACTATCACCTTATGAACGCTTTATTAGCGATGAGATCTGGGTAGTTCAAGAAAGGTAGACGTACACTTACTACCGATTTGCAGCGATTTTCTGGATTTAGACACGATGTCAACAGCATGAACCTTTCCCCTAATAGCTTTGCTTACAAATTGCACTACTTGAAACATCCTTCTTCTCTCCTAGGGAAACATGAAACAACTTGATCTGAACGCTGTTTTCTAGGAAGTTTCTTGAAAACCTCAACCAACCAACCTCAATCAAAAGTGATGAGGAGAGCTTGCT